AAGAAAGAAAGAAAGAAAGAAAGAAAGAAAGAAAGAAAGAAAGAAAAGAAAGAAGGTGAGAGGGGGGAAGGAAGGGAGGAAAGAAGGTGAGAGAGAGGTGAGGAGGAAGGAAGGAAGGAAGGAAGGAAGGAAGGAAGGAACGAAGGAAGGAATGGAGGGAGGGAGAAAAGAAGGGGGGAGGGAGGGGGAAGGAAGAGAGGAAAGGAGAGAGAGAGGTGAGAAGGAAGGAAGGAAGGAAGGAAAGAAAGAAAGAAGGGGTGAGAGGGGGGAAGGAAGGGAGGAAAGAAGGGGAGAGAGGTGAGAAGGAAGGAAGGAAGGAAGGAAGGAAGGAAGGAAGGAAGGAAGGAAGGGGTGAGAGGGGGGAAGGAAGGGAGGGAGGGAGGGAAAAAGAAGGGGAGGGGGGAAAGGAAGGGAGGAAGGAAATTGAGAAAGAAGGCAGGCAGGCAGGAGGGACAGAGGAACGGAAGGAGAGGGAAAGAGGGAAGGATGGAAGGAAACTGAGAAGGAAGGAAGGGAGGGAAGAAGGAAGGAAGGAGAGGGAAGGGGAGGAGAGGAAGGGAAGGGTGGAAAGAAATTGAGAAGGAAGACAGGGAGGGAGGGAGGGGAAGGAGGGAAGGAAATGGGAAGGAAGAAAGGAAATTGAGAAGGAAGGAAAGAGGGGGAGGGAAGGAAAGAGAGGAAGGGGGATGGAAGGAAGGGTGAGGGAGGGAAAGAGGGAAGGAAATTGAGAAGGAAGACAGGGAGGGAGGAAGGGAGGGAGAAAGGGAGGAAGGAAGGAGGGAAGGAAGGAAGGAAGGAAGGAAGGAAGGAAGGAAGGAAGGAAGGAAGGAAGGAAGGAAGGAAGGAAGGCAGGAAGAGCAAACAATATTGTTTTTTTGACATGGCTATATCTTCACCTTCAGACTGCAGAAACGATCGCTCCCTTCCCCAAACCTGCCTTACTGCAAAAAGGAATGGGGAAAAAAATGATCCAAATCCCAAATCTATCTCATATAATTTTATTTCCCAATTTTAAGCCTTCAAATCCCACCCGCATCGGAAGTCTTTGATTGCCACTGACGGATTGCTTCTGCAGTATCTCACTGCGCAGATTTTATTTACAAACCGAATCTGCCTGAACATTTTAAATTCGTTTTTTTATTGCTGTTGCACCTGGATTGCAAGCTACGGAACGCCAAGTTTAAAAACTGGGCAATTTTAACCAGGTAAGCTGAACAGGTGTGGAGGGGAAAAAAAAATTAACGTTGAGGAAAAACAGGATAATTAAACGGTGCCAGCATTTGTCTCCCCCACCAACCTCTAGATGGAAAAAGGTACTGAACAGGAGTCCTCAACTTACGACCGCAGTTTGCGGTGATTCGCTTAACAACGGCAGGGAGAAAAGTCGCAAAGTGGAGCAAAAACCCCCTTAACGAATGCTTCAGCCACGGAAATGTTGGGCTCCATTGGGGTCGTAAGTTGAGGACCACGTTGTGTCACCAGGGCGAGTCCACACTGCCAACCTTTGGACAAGCCAAGTCAAGGAGGAAGCCGGATTCATTTTACAACCGTGTTACTTTACGGCGGCCTTACCTAAAGTCGTTTCGTTCCTCTGCTTTCACGCCAGGCCATTCTTTCTTTAAGTACTGGCTAGCCAATTTCTGCATCCCCTATTTTAAAAAAAAAAAGGGAAAAAGAAGGAAAATTAAAGGCTTTGTTTACAAACGGACTTGAATCCTAGCATTCTACTCCCATCGCTGGCTGCCCTGCTCCGAAATTTTCCGCAGGCATCCTCTGGTGGGAAGCGGGAAAGACCTTGATCAGATTAAAAGGCCAGCCTGGATAAAGAACCTAAGACTTCTAGAAGAGAATATGTGTAGCTCAGGGGTGTACCTGAATTCTTCATTGAATTTACTCAGTGGAACGATTTGCCACCAGAAGTTGTGAATGCTGCAACTCTGTAGGTTTTTAAGAAGAGACTGGGCAGCCATTTTGCCTGGAATGGCAGAAGGAATCCTGCCTGAGAAGGGGATGATGGACTGGATGACCTTCCAACTCTGCTATTCTCTTCTGGTCTGTTCTGTTCTTTTCTTTTCTGTTCTGTTCATTCTTATTCTTATTATTCTATTCTATATTCCAATTTCTATTCTATTCTATTCATTCCTATTCTATTCTTATTCTACATTCCAATTTCTATTCTATTCATTCTTATTCTATTCTTATTCTACATTCCAATTT